CTTGGATCCAGACTTACACCATTGGCTCCCCCAGTTCTCAGGTTTTCCAGTTTGGACTTGGAACTACACCAGTGGCTTTTGTGGGCCTCCAGCTTGAAGACAGCAAGATCATGGGACCTCTCAGCCTCTATAATTGCATGATCCAATCCTTCATAATAAATCTTTCTATATATTTATATATAACCTATTGGTTCTGTTTCTCTGGAGAGCCCTGACTAATACAGTGGCCCTCCTATTAAATTCTCTGAAGAAGGAAGGGAGACAAAAGAAAGAAAAGCAAGAAAATGATTATCACAGAAAGTCAGGTTGGAGTCTGGCTCAATGGGTTAGAGAAGGAGTTGCAGTGAGGAAGGGGTAAGGTTGAGTGTCCTGACAGTCTTGGAGCCTGGTTACCCAGAGGAGTTTGGTAAGTGCACTGCTTGTTCAGAACCCTTTAGGGCAGACAAGTTACAAACTTTTCCCAAAATAAGTAGCATCAAACGCTAAAGAATCGAACTAGGCAAAGAAAATAAACTAAAACAGAGCACTGACTCCAACAAATAATGGCTCATAGAAAGGAAAGAGCTGGAAAGTGCATTAAATTTTTTATTTAAATAAGTTTAGCTCTACCAAAGCAAAGCCTGAAGTATGGGGGGGGGTAAGGGGAGTGGGGATTTTGTAAAACATTCCAGTAATTATTTATATTAATTACATCTAGGGATTGTGACACTTTTGGATATATTAGGTTACATTATTTTATCTGTTGCTCTTATTTTAAAGTTTTCTCCTATAAAGTTAAAAATGCTCTCCATATCTCAAATTGTTTTTATTGGACAGTGCCACAAATGAAAACGAGCAAAGTATTAAGGAGAGCAAAACGTGTGGATGTGGATATAAACAGCGTGGAGATTGCATACTAATAAAAAAACAGCAAACTGCACAAGAGTGAATACTGTTCACCAGGAAAAAGATAATACCACACCTACAAAGCAGTATTTTAGCAGCTGAAGCAACATAGGGCATACTAATACAATAAACTTTTACTAGTTTCTCTTATTTTAAACAGCATAATTAGCTTTGTTAAAACAAAGCCTCAAAAAATTGAGTTAAGACTCAATTGTTTCTCCCCACGGAAATCTTTAGTAAAAGGCGAAAGATTTATGCGATCTGAAGAGAAACCGGAGTATGAAATGCAGACGCTGTGATTAATTTTTCAGGAAACCGTAACTCCTGGTACACTGATGGTGGCTATTTATCCCAAGAGTTACTGCCTGCAGAAGTTTATCCAAGGAATTCTGAATATAACATTTTCATACTTAGAAAAGTTGAGTAAGAAAAACATTTTGTTTACTTGAAAACAATTGTTCTGTTTGCAGGGTGTTATGGGTATGCAAATGAGTTCTGAATAATCACCCTTTAGACTCCGGAAATGTTTTAGTATTTAAACCTGGCTCTGGTGCCACCTTTAAGGGGCAAAGGAGAGGCTTGGCTGCCTGGGATCTAAACTCCGTCCTAGTCAACTAGAGACATTTTGCTTTTATCTATTCATACATTGGAACTTTGAGTATGATTTCTTTTAAATAAAGGACTTTTTTGATAATTGGGGCGAGGGCAGGTCATGAGTTAGTACAAAATTCAGGATAGTGGTTACCCACAGTGGGGAGTGAGGGGTATAATTGGAGAAAGGCCCACAGAGGGAGTTCAAAGGTGTTGGCAATATGCTTTTTCTTAAGCTGGGAAGGTGGCATCAAGGTTTTATCTTATTACTCTTTCATTATATTCATATTATCATATATCATATTCATGAACATTGCAAATCTTCCCCTTCATGGTCTGCTTTTGTGTCTTTCAATATAGTTTTATAATTTGACCATAAGGATTTTTTGGTTAGATTTACATTTAATATCATGTAGTTTTTTGTGGCTAGTATAGATTTTTTAAATTACAATTTATAGTTGTTTATTGCTGGTATATGGTAATGCAGTTGAGTTTTATTTATTGCTCTTCCACTCAGCAATCTTTTTTTTTTTAATTAAAGTTTATTGGGGTGACAGTTGTTCACAAAGTTACATAAATTTAAGGTGTACAATTCTGTAATACATCATCTATATATCACATTGAGTGTTCATTATCCAGAGTCAGTTCTCTTTCCATCACCATATATTTGATCCCCTTTACCCTCATTTACTACCCCCCACCCTCCTTACTCTCTGGTAACCATTAAACTATTGTCTGTGTCTATGAGTTCTGTTTCTTCATTTGTTTTTCTTGTTCTTTTGTTGGTTTCAGTTTTATATACCACATATCAGTGAAATCATATGGTTCTCTACTTTTTCTCTCTGACTTATTTCGCTTAGCATTATAATCTCAAGATCCATCCATATTGTTGCAAATGCCACTATTTCATCTTTTCTTATGGCAGAATAGTATTCCATTGTGTATACCACAACTTCTTTATCCAATCATCTGTCGAAAGACATTTTATTAATAGCTGTTTCCATACCTTGGCCACCATAAATAAAGCTGCAGTGAACATCGGAGCACATATATCTTTACAGATAAATGTTTTCAGATTTTTGTGGTAGATACCCAAGAGAGGGATTGCTGGGTGGCATTCAGCAATCTTAAACTCTAGTTCTAATAGATGGTCTATAGATTCTATTGGATGTTATATGTAGACAGCATATCATCTGAAAGTGATAACTTAGTTTTTTCCTTATAAACCCTATATTTTTTATTATTTCTTTTTTCTTGTTTTACTTAACTGGTTGGGCACTCTGACAGAGGCATTGAACTGAAGTGATGATTAGTGGGTATGTTTTTCTTATTCTGGTCATAGCTTTCATTAGACCACCATTAAGTGTGAAATTTGTTGTAGTCACGGTGGGCTTCATGGGTAAGCTGTCTGTGCAGTTGCATTGGGTTCTTTGTTCATAAAACTCTGCTATTGCTTTCATGAGATTCTTAATAATTTTTGAACAAAGGTCCTGCATCTTCATTTTGCACTGGGCCTCAAAAGATTTCTGGTAGAAACTCTTGATTACGCTATTATAGTTCCATTCTATATATTTCTAATTTGCTTTGATTTTTTTTTGAATAGTATAGGTGGATATTGAGGTAACCATAAATTTTCCCTTTTAATCTATTAGTGCTGTTAAAAAAAATTCAACAGAGTAAATCTGAAGATCTAATAGGCCTTATTAAGTGATTCATGAATTGGACAGCATCCCTTCTAGCAACTATAAGGGCATTCTAGTGGCTGTACAAAATGGAAGGTTTTTACAGGCAGAAAGAAAGTGGGACTAAGAAGTTAAAAGTGGATTATTTCAGGCAAGGACACCTTCCCTTAGGAGAAAGTAGGGGTCTTATCAGGCAAATTGCCTCACTAATGTGGATTAAGAAATTCCAACTGATTCATTTAAAATCCCGCTCCTAGAAAAGGCTGAAACTACAATTAGATTAAGTATTAAATCCAGGTTTGGTATCACAGGCTTTTAGCACAAATGACTCCATTTTGGAGCTGAAGTTTTGTTTTGTTTTTTCTTTAATAATGTGGAAAATTACATTAATAGATTTTCTATGATAAGCCATCCCTACATTCATAGCCTAAACTCAATTTGGCAATAATGTATTTAAAATAGATTTTATTTTTTAGAAAAGTTTTCAATTTATAGAAAAATTATGAAGATAGAGCAGAGTTCCCATATCCCCACACCTAGTTGTCCTTATCATCAACATGTTATTGTTAGTATGCTTCAGAAGAGCAACTTTCATGTATTCATCCAACAAACAATGCTTGAGGCCAAGAATGAGGCTTTGTCTAAGGGCCCACAGTGAAGAAGAGGTGGAATAAGGGATGGTTCCCAGGTCTGCCCCATTGCTACAAGCTCTGCCTTTCTGGGCCTGAGCTTCAGCAGCCATGTTAGAGCTCCTGGGTCCCAAGAGGCCCCCCAGGACCTTGTCTGAGGCCATAAGGCTCTCAGACACTTTTTAGTCTTTTTAGTTCTCCTGGGCTAGTCCAGGTCTCAAAGCAACCTGAGGTCTCACATGGACTCCTGGGAGCAGCCAGCATTCACTGCCTGGCCTGGGAAGCCTTGTGGTGTCTGGGGGCCCAGTCTTGCTCTTCCTCCCAAAGTCATACATGCAATCATGGACCACCTTTCCTCTGTGCCTGAGGCCCAGCTCAACGTGGATTCGGAAGTAGGGGAAGTTCCTCCCTCAGAGGATGTTGGGATGTGGAGGTGTGGGTAGGGTACTGAGGGGCTTCTTGGTCTAGGAATTAACAATAGCCTGTGATTAGATTTCCATGTGACCATGAGGCCCAATGGTCTCTAATTCTCTAATGGGGTTGTGAGTTGGGAGAGGGGATGGGAGTCTACTCCATCCTTCCAGCTATTAGGTCAATCTTCCTTCTGCCCATCCCCGTTATTTGCCTCCCCAGGCTCCCTTTCACAGAGGGCTCCAAAGGAGGATCTTGGCAGGCCTCCTCTGAGAAGCCAGAAACTTAGGCAATGCAGAGAATTCTGGAGGCTGAAAGGCAGAGGGAAGGTCTTTCGGTTTTCAGATATGAGTATGAATCCTAGATTTACTAGGTCCGGCTGTGGGACCGTGGGCCAGCATTACAGCACTCTGAGACTCAGTTTCCCAGGGTGTTAAATGGTTCCTTCTGCGCAGCCAGTTTTGGAAGGAAACGGTTCAAGAGGAGGCAGTAGGTAGTACCGATTCTCCTCAGGCGAGATAAGCAGTCTTAACCCCTGGAGCTGGGACAAAGGCAAGTCCAAGGGCGGGTCAGAAGGGCGCCTAGGTCAGTTTCTACGCGAGGCTTCGCTGAGAATGGCACGCAATGGCGTGGGCGGCTCCGCCCCGGCCGCACACCTAGCTGCTGGGGACTACTCGAGTCCAGATGGGCGGGCACACCCTGCACCCAGGACTGGGAGGGCGCGGGAAGGGGCGGGCCGTTGGCTTGGCTGGGCGGAGCGTGGAGCAGCGTCGGGAGCGCGGCGCCGGGAGGGGAGGTAGGCCCGGCGCGCGCGAGGCGCGGGAATCTCTCCGGCGGGCAGGGCACGGCAAGCAGACGTGCACCGCTGCTGGAACGCAGGCGGCGCGGGGGGCAGTCGGGAGAGCGCTGGGGCTTCGGCGGCGCCGGGCCAGAGGCGGGGCAGGAAGGCACGGGCGGCGCCGCAGCCTGGCGCGGCGTGGGGAGTGGACCCTGTCCGCGGTCCCCCTTAGGGGTGCCTCCTGCCCCAGGCCCCTGCAGAGGACACGCATCAGCACGTTCCTGCTGTTGTCGTTTCATCCTATGTCATAGCCCCTCCCTCAGGCCTGGGGCTCCCCCTACACCCGTGGCCCCATTATCACCAGGCCCAACCCCCACAGTGACCGGCGCTCCGGGCCCTGTCCCTCTCTACCATCCCGGCTCCCGGGGAACCGAGCGCCCCGGCCGGGACGCCCGCCAAAGGCACTCGTCAGCACTTTCTCACCCCTGTCATCTCATCCCTCTGCCTAGTTCGACCCCAGGCCTAGGAACCCCGGTTCCCTCTGGCCCTTTGTCCCCCGGCCGAGCCCCACGCTGACCGCAGACAGCCCTAGCCCCTGAACCGCCGCGTCTCGGGCGGCAGCGCGCCGCCACCCAGGATGCAGCCTGCAGGCAGGGCGGCAGTCAGGGAGGCGGTGGGCCGCGACGCACTGGCCGCGGACCTCCGGTGCAGCCTCTTCGCTTCGGCCCTGCAGAGCTACAAGCGCGACTCGGTGCTGCGGCCCTTTCCCGCGTTCTATGTCCGTCGCGACTGCAAGGACTTTGAAGCCCTGGTGAGTGCACATGTTTCCCCCCGTGCTGTCCACTGCGTCCCAAGCCACGTGGCCTGTGGAACCCATGTTAGTAAACATGCCAGCCCCCAGACTTTCCACTCCCAGCGTGGCCTTGGGGAAGGTTTACATGAGCTAAGAGCACCCCCCAAACCCTACTACGTAGACACCCCCAAGGCACTTTGTGGCTGCTTCCTCTTGTTAATGACAAGGGACTCCCAGGAATGAAGTGAATTCAATATAGTTGTATAGGCCTCCCCAACATTTCTTAGCGTGGCCAGCAATAGGTTGTTGATCTAAATCACCTGACTTTGCCAAATAGGAAGTTATCCATCTCTCTGCAAATAATCAGACACCAAAAGTAACAAAAGCCACCACCCAGACCTGATCTTCAGATGAGGTAATATATGGGCAGTGATCTTATAAATTGTAACATATACTACACCTGTGAACTGTCATTTCTGATGATTCACAGGCACTTAGTTTCTTGCAGAGTTCATTTACCTCAGGGTCAACATTCCAGATATCAGCTATTTTTGTAATTCAAATGTTTGAAATTACCTAGTATCAATTACCAAAATCGATTCTATAAGGAATAGAAAATCAAAATAGTCTATAATCATTAAAGACATTTAATTAATAAAGATTTTCACGCAAAGAAAACTCTGGGCCTAGCTGGTTTCCTTGATGAGTTCTACCAAGCACTGAGGGAATAAATAACTCCAGTTTTACGCATATTCTTCCAGAATATTGAAAAAGAGGCTAGTATAACCTTGATCCTAAATTTGATAAGGATGGTACAAGAAAAGAAATTTATAGGCCAATGTCACTCATGAGTATAAATGTAGAAATTCTCTATAAAATATTAAGGTCCTGAATCGAGCAATGTATACAAGGAATAATTCCTTATTAACGGGTTGGGTTTATCTCAGGAATGCAAAATGAGTTCAACATTAAAAAATCAATTAGTATTATAAATCACATTAGCAGATTAAAGGAGATGTTTAGAATTGAATGAGGTGGTCAATGTTGGAGTCCCTCGCTATCACTCCCAGGAGGTTGAAAGACAAAGGCCTAGCCTCCTGGCCCCAACTTGGTCCATTTCAACTAGGCTAGGGATGTGTTGAGGGCACCTCAGGCCTAGACCACGGTGCACAGTTGATTCAGAGTACAGGGAGAGGGAAGTTAGAGAAAGATAAGCTAACCGACTTTCTCCACAGTTTGTTCTGCAAACTTAGATGTTCGGTTTTGAATTTGTGATATCAGAGCCTTGAGGATGAAACTTCCTTCAGTGGATACAGAATTAAAGACCCAAGGGGAGGTTAACTGTGCTCAGCTGTACTGTGGGGTAAGCCCTACACAGGCATACCTCGGAGATATTGCGGGTTTGGTTCCAGACCACTGTAATCTTTTTGCTGGTGGAGGGCCTTGCCTTTAATTTGTTAAAAAATCCCGCAATATCTGTGAAGCACAATAAAATGAAGTGTGCCTGTATATACAACGGGGAAGCCCAGTGCAGGGACCCCAGCCCTTGGCAGTAGGCTGGAATTAGGGAAGATGAACCGGAGTGGTGGCTGATGCCATGCTAAGACCTAGCCACATGGAGGATTTCAAGGAGTATAGAGAAGGAAACTGGTATTCCAGGAGGAGTAGTGGGATGGGTAGAAAGCCAGGAGCTCACTGAGGACAAGTCTATGTTTTAGTGTGGCTGTTGTGGGGAGCAGGAAAAGATGAGGCCAACCAGAACATGCAATGCCGGGCATGTCCTGCCAAGATGTGTAGATTTTATCTTTGGGCAGGGGAGGGCATTGGTGAGATCCAGGATGCATTTCTGAAAGACCCCTGTGGTGGCAGGGTGAGAGAGGGATCTGTTCAGGAGGAACAGAGGGACCAGACTCACCAAGATGATGCCCTGCAATGCACTTCATTAATTTTTACCAAGTAACATCCAAGTGGACTAGAATGCTCAATGCGTTCTCTTCCTGCTGCAAGGTCTTCTTGGCAAACAGAATCAGCTTTGTTTGATGACTATGGGATAAATCAAAGGGAGCTTTGGAATTGTTTTGATTTGTTCATGCTTTTTAAAAATTTATGTTTAACTATGCAAGTAATGTTTGAATATATTCTTGTCATAAAAAATTCAAATGATACCAATCAAGTGAAAGTGCCATTTATAGAGTTCACACTATCCCACGTCCTTCCCCATAGGTATCAGCGCTTTCAGTTTGGGACACACCCTTCCTCCCATACCTATAATCCCTTAGGAGAGCATCGGATAGCCCCAAGTAGCCACTGCCTCTGTTGCAGTTTCCAAAAATTAGAGCTCTGGCTTGAATTACTTTATTGATTATTGCTTTCCTGAGATTGCCCCTGCTAAACCAAGCTCTTGGCTTTAAGCACAGCTCTGGCCTTATTCTGTCACAGCCCCCAAAGTCCCAAATCATCTTCTAGTTGCCTTGTTTTGAGAATATTTCTGTGCTGAGTCAGCTCTTTGATTTTACCCTGGGAGTTCTTTGTCTTCTCAGCACCTGACCTGGGGGTGCCTATCAGATGTTTGAGGAATCATATTGGGTATGTGCTGGTTTTCCAGGCTGAGGGTTTCTGACCTTGTTCCTTGGGACAAGGATTGGCTAAGCCCTTATTAGGTCAGAGAATCTGTAGCATTCTTGGGATGTCCTGTAGTCCTGACCATTGGCCCTCAAGCTTCAGGTTTGTTTTGTTTTTTCCCTAGGGAACCCCATGCCTTGGTTCTCCATTAGCCTGCAGACCCTTTCTGAGGGTGGAAAGTGAGTGGGAATGGCTCCTTTGTATCAATTCCAGCCCTTGCCACTCAAAGTGGTGTTGAGGACCAGCAGCCGCATCACTTGGGCGCTTGTTAGGAAAACAATATCAGGCCTCACCCCAAACCTACCCAATCAGGGTCTGCATTTTTTTTTTTTTAAAGATTTTTATTGGGGAATTGGGGGGATGGGAACAGACAACTTGCTGTTGTTTTTGTTCTTCAGTCTAGTTGTGGAGGACGTCGCTTCACTGGCTCAAGTTGGCACCATCATTGCGCTCTTCCCAGGTGAGGCAGATCAGTTGCCGGCTTCTGGACGGCCGCTCACTGCGGCTGCTGGCCGCTCACGCTGGCTGCTGGCTACACACGGTAGCCCATGGCAACCCACTGCCACAGGGGCTGCAGCCTACGCCGTCGCTGGCGACTCATGGCAGCCCAGCTCCAGGTCGAGCTGCTGCTCAGCATCTTAGCTGTGGAGGGCAGTGTCACTGGCCCTCATATGTGGGATCCGAACTGGGGCCCTCTGGTGTCCCAAGCCAGTTCTTAACCATCGCGCCACTCAGCCGGCCCAGGGTCTGCATTTTAACAAGTCTGAGAAGCCCTGATCTAGCCTGCCTCATTCCCATCTACTATTTCAGGGCCTAAGCTGCTGTAATTGGCTCTCCTGGTTCTGGTCTCTGGCTTGCACTCTCTAGACAAGCTTAACTGTCTGGGTTAAAAACATGAATAAGCTCCTCTATGTCCTCACCCCAGGGCAGGCCTGCCCTCCCCATATCGTCTGCCTTGTTTTCCAGGTAAACTCTCCCTCATCATTGAAGACACGGCTGGAACCTCATCTTACTCTGTACCTTCACGCCCCAGCGGTTAAGAGTCCTTCCTCTGGTTCCCTCACAATATTTTAAATTTGCTCTTGTAAATAGTACTATGGTAAACATCCTTCCACGTTAATCATTGTTTATATCTCTAGTCATTTTCTTGAGATAATTTCCAAAAGGTGAAGTTGTTGGCCCAAAGGCTAGCAGACCTTTCTAAGGAAGGCTTTTGATGCTTATTTCCAGGTGGGAAATTGAATATTGACATTTACTGGGGGAGATCATTCTTTACAAGGCTTTCAACCTGGGTTTACATTGGAATCACCTGGGAAGCTTTAAAAAATACTGCTGCCCAGGCACTGCACTGTACACCTGAAGCTGATGTAGAATAATATTAAATGTCAATTATAATTAAATATATATGTACAGCATAGGGAATATAGTTAATGGTATTGTAACAGCTAAATACGATGTCAGAGGGGTTGTAGATGTGAGGGGTGTCAATGTCTAATCATTATGTTGTTTTTGTACACCTGAAATTAATATTGAAAAAATTAAAATAAAAAAATACTGTCTGGACCCCACCCCTAGAGATTTAAATGGTCTGAGGTGGAGCCTGGGCATTGGGATTTTTTTATCTATTTGCAGAAAATGTGTAGTTTAAAATTTTTCCAATTAATTGATTTGATCATTTTCATGAGTACCCATCTGCTGGTAGTGAGGAAATGATAACAATTAGATTCCGGGGCCAGCCAAGTGGCGCGTTGGTTAAGAGCTGGCTTGGGACGCCAGAGGGCCCCGGTTCGGATCCCACATATAAGGGCCAGTGACACTGCCCTCCACAGCTAAGATGCTGAACAACAGCTAAACCTGGAGCTGGGCTGCCGTGAGTTGCCAGCAACGGCGTAGGCTGCAGCCCCTATGGCAGTGGGTTGCCACGGGCTACTGTGTGTAGCCAGCAGCCTGCATGAGCGGACGTTCAGAAGCCGGCGACTGATCTGTCTCGCCCGGGAAGAGTGCAATGATGGTGCCAACTTGGGCCAGTGAAGCAACGTCCTCCACAACTAGACTGAAGAACAAAAGGACAGCAACTTGTCTGTTCCCCTTCCCCCAATTCCCCAGCGCTGTTCCCATCCCCAAATTCCCTAATAAAAATCTTAAAAAAAAAACACCAAAAAACCAAAACAATAAAACAATTAGATTCGGCCCAGTCAATAAGTGTCCATTTAGGTACACACTTGATGTCTCAAGTGTAAATTCTCAATTCTCAGTGTCTCAGATTACCTTTTTACTTCCCTGCTCTCAAACATGGTATCTGAAGAGTGGGGGGAAATATACAGACATAAAAAGATACGGATACAGACACAGATATGATGTGATGTGACTGTCAGTGGATGTGTGGCTAGAAAGAT